GGTTCACTCCCCAAATGGCTGCAATGGCCAGGTCTGGGCAGGCTAGAACCAGGAGCCAGGAGCTTCTTCCAGGTCTCCCACGTGGGTGCAGGGGCCCAAGAACTTGGGCCATCTTCTGCTTTGCCAGGCACATTAGCAGGGAACTGGATTGGAAGTGGAGCAGCCGGGACTCAAACTGGTGCCCATATGGGAGGCTGGCACTGCAGGCGGTGGCTTAACCCACTGCTGCACAGAGCCAGTCTCACTTTTCCTTGTTGATTTGCAAGTGCTCTTTACGTATGGCATGGCTAGGATCTGTCACATGTTGCAGATGCTTCCCGAATTTCCCACTTGACTTCTCGGTTTTGTTGCTGAGTTTCTTGCCTTACAAGGTTTCCAAGTTCAGGCCGTAAATACCGTCCAGTGAGCTTTCTCTCTCTGTCCCAGTCTTGCCTTCCCCACCCTGGGATCCGGTAAACTGGATAAAGCCTTTCCCAGCTGTAGCGGTTTGGTCCAGCTGGCCTCTTCTGCGGCTGGTGAGCAGGGCCAGGCCATGTCGGGGTCTGTCACGAGCTGCAGGGAGGCAGGACACGTGGTGCCTGCAGCTGAGGCCCGGCTCAGGTGCTGACACGCCCTCTGCCCTCTGGAGCACCCCACGGGGGCCAGAACAGTTCCTGTTTCTAATTATTTATTTCAAAGTCAGAGTAACAAGGGTACGAGGGACAGAGGGAGTCTCCAGCTGCCAGTCCACTCCCCAGATGGCCAGGACCGGACCGGGCTGAAGCCAGGAGCTTCCCGCAGGTCTCCCACATGGGTGCCGGAGTCCACGCGGTGAGCCTTCCTCCGCTGCTTTCTCGGGTCAGTAGCAGGGAGCTGGATCGAAAGGGCAGCAGACGGGACGCAGACTGGCGCCCAGTGGGATGCCCGCTGTGCCCCAGCTCCTTTCAGGCTCGCCGGCCGCTGGCAGAGCAGGGCTGCTGGAGGCAGCGCCAGCCTGGCACTCAGCTCCGGAAGGGAGAAGGCAGCCTGGCCAAGGTGCGGCTGGGGCCAGGCCCCCTGGGGCCGTGAGGGTCGCCACGGGGGTGACTGGGAGAGAAGATGGTCGTGAGGCGGGGCCGGGAGCAAACCTGCTGCCGCTCCACAGTCCCGGGAGGTGTTGGTCCTTGGCTGGCACCAAGGACGGCGCCGGCCTGACCTCTGCTGCCCATGGAGGGGGGCAGGCCAGGGGCAGTCCCTATGAAGCAACAGCCCCTGGGGCTGGCCTCACCTGACTGGCTCCCTCTTTTAGGGGAGCCTGGGGGTCCCCATGGGGGTGCTGGCCCACTGTCCCTGTTGCTGTGGCTCTGGAGCAGCTCACGGCGGGGGGGTGCTGTGCACTCTCCCATCCCTCTCCTGGCCGCAAGTGGAGATGACTGGGGGCAGTGGACCTGGGGCAGGGCTGGTGCAAGTGGGGTCTCTGCTCACATCTGTCTCCCTGCCCAGGAGACCCCTGTGCCGGGACAGAGGGAGCGCGGGTGGCAGGTGGCCGTCACCCGCAGGAGCCCTGCAGAGGGCTCTGTGACGGCGCACAGAGGACGAGGTGGCTGAAGCAGCCACTGGGCGCCTCTCGGTGTCCTGCTTGGGTGTACACGGGCCACAGTGGGCCACGCTGTTCAGTCCCTAGAGCTGGCCCGTGGCGCTGTGGCCCTGAAGGAGCCGCACCCTACCTCGCCCTCCACTCCCTAGCCAGGGTCCTGAAGTGCAACCATCTGGCAACCCCCAGAGGCGGGTGCTGGGCCCCAGCAGGGAGCAAGGCCTGGTGCCCCACCCCAGCCCCAGAGGGACTCCCAGCTGCAGCTCAGGAAGTTATGGCTGACCCCGATAAGCTCCATGCAGAGGGAGAGGTACAGGAGTCCCCTTGTGACTTGGTGGTCAGGGAAGGCTCCCTGGAGGAGAGGTGTTCTCTGCGTCTCCCAGGGCCGCAGGGCTGCGGTTAGGACCCCTGCACGTTCTCTTTGCTGCCCCCACGGTGCCCAGTGTGTGGAGGGAACTTGCAGGAAACCACGCCCCTGGTGTGACCTTGCCGCCCCGGGGCCTGGCCCTGAGCAGGGAACGTGAGGGGTGTGGCAGCTCTGCCTGGTGCATTCAAGGGGCAGTGGCCGCCAGCAGTGTGAGCACAGCGGGGAAGGGGGGGCCTCATCCTGGCCACACCCACGGTGGGTGGGGAGTCCCTCTGAGCACCCTGCCTCTGGGAGGTGGGCCACGCCCTCCCTGCACCAGATCTTCATGGGTACCCGGTGCCTGGGACAGAGCGGGGGCAGGTGAGCCCTGCCCCGTCACTCAGGGTCCCTGCCTGCACTGTGGGGGTGGGGTGCCCAGCACGCAGAGCTGCTCCCCGTGTCCCGCAGGGACAGCCCAGGCAGGCCGCTCCCTGCAGCAGCGCCCCGTGGCTGAGTCTCTCCAGAATGGGACTGAACTCTGGGAACCAGGGAGCATGCGGGCTTCTTTCTGAGGCTGGCTTTTCAGTGTCACCCGGTGCCACTCCAGCAGTGTCTCACCTAAGGGGGTTCGTCCATTTACCCACCAGGCTCTGGGCTGCACGGGTGACTCGGCTGTTGGTGGCATGGACCCGGGGCTTCCTCTGAGGCTTGTAGGGCCTCATCCGAGATCCCCGTCTGCCGCGGGCAGTGGGCGCGAGAGGAACGTGAGGCCGCACAGCCCTGGGGGGGACGAGGGTGCTCTCATGTTGGGGCTGTCGCCGGATCCCATCTGGCATGGCCAGCCACGCTGGGGTCTTCATGCCAGGCCCTCTGTGTCCTCTTCTGTCTCTCCAGTTCCTGCCCTAGAATCAGTCCTGCTGATCCCCCACACCTGGTGACTCCATGGCTTCTGGGGCTGCCACAGGACACAGGTCCTGCCTGTGTGTAGCGTGCCACCCCACCCTGCAGGGTCTCTGCAGTATCACCCAGTGCCGCGAGGTGCACCGTGTGCCCGTGGCCTCACCGCTACCCCCAAGTTCCAGCCCTTGCTAGAATGGAACTGCTGGGACCCTCACTCCCAGGAGGCGAGCGGGGGTAGCCCTCCCCAGGTGGGCGGAGAGCCACGGACGCCCCAGGGTTGGGCACAGCTGTGCGTACCGTCAAAGGTCTCCAGAGAGACGAGAGAGGGCAGAGCCAGAGCCAGCGCCCGGCTGTCCCCGTGAAAGCACGCACGGCTCTGCTTCCCTGCAGGCTCGCCTTGCTTTTCAGAACACGCTGTCTGCCGCAGGCCCTCTGAAAGGCGGCTGATCTCGCAGAAACTGCCTGCAGTCGGGCAGGACTGTGGGGTCCCGTGTGACTGTCACTGCGGGATGGGAAAGGGGCACGTGACAGGAAGGGCAGGGTGGGGGAGAGTGGGTGCGTCCCGGGCTGCCCCACTGAATGAGGCCTTTCACTTACACTGGCTCACCCGTCACCATAGCAACCCCAGGAAGCGCGCTCTGCCTTACGACGACTGGAGAGCAGCTTGCTCAGGACTGCCCTGGAAGTGGCAGGGTCAGGGCTGGCCCCGACAACCTAGAGGGTAAGAGAACGATCCAGTGCGGGGTAAGCCCTCCCAAGAACTGGGACAGTGTCGGAGCTCGGAGCTCCCCGACAGCCACAGCGCAGAAAGAACCGAGGCGGCGGTCGCTGCAACGGGAGCAGAGGACTTTCGCCCCAGAAGCGGCACTTGCGCCAGGTGCCGGAACGTTCTGCCGCCTCGTTCGCTCCCTCAACCCGAGTCCGTGGCCGAGCCGCCCGCCACCAGGCAGCTCAGCGGCCGACCTACCTGGGTGGCGCTGCTGCCCGCAGGGAAGCAGCCTGCAGGCAGGTGGCGGCCAGGGCGTGGAGGGGAATCCTCCCCAGTCTGCTTGCTCAGCAGTTCCGCAGCTGTGGGGGGAGGAGCTGGCAGAGAGGGGCCCCACAGAGTGAGAGCGGCGGCTTTGCTGGTTAATCTCGGCGCTCACACTGGGCCTGGGCCAGGAGCGGAACTGAAAGGGAGCCCAGGCCTGGCAGACTTCCTGGTAGGGTTCCTGAGGGCGGGCAGGCAGGGTCAGCTGCACAAGAAGGGGCGAAGCCCTTTGTAGACAGGAAATGGACGCTTTGAAGGGTTGGTCGACTGCGCCAGCAGCTAAGAGCAGCCCTCCCCCCCCCCCCCCCCGCCTGCCCAGCCTGTCCAGCTGCAGGGCCTTGCCCTGCCCCCTCCTGGCCGCAGCAGTGGCAGCATGGGCTGTGATTTGAGCCAAATTCTTGGAGCTGCTCTCCTTCCTCTGTCGGTTGTTAGCACATTACTGCCCCCACCCTGCTGAGGGGTGCCCAGCCCGGGAAGGGCCCTGGTGTGGTCAGCTTTCTGTGGCCAGGCCACCCCGTCTCCTCCCCAGCCATCGGCCCCCTTGTGGAGAGGGCCCGGACCAGGCCGAGGTCGTGGTCCTCGTCTGGTGGCTGTGTCCGAGGCAGGATGAAGTTGCGGCTTTGGGACTGACCTTTCGAAAGACAGCCTCTGGCCATGAGGAGCCCTTTTGGGGACAGGTGGCGGTTGGAAGCGCCGGAAGCCACGGTGCTAGGAACACATCTTGGGGCCTCCGTGCTAGCTCGTGGTCCGTGAGAAAAGCAGGTGCTGGCGAGAGGGGGCCCTGCGGCCTCCTGTCCACCCCCCTTTCTAATCTGCCCCGACCTCTGTCATCAGCCATCTCCTGGCGCCTTATCACAGAAGGAAAAGATGGGTGTGGGGGGGTGGGGCCTGGCTCACCCCTTCTGAGACAACGCCCATGCCCACCCGGCAGCAGCAGGCTCCTGGGGGCAGGGGTCTGCAGGGCCAGCCCTGCTGTAGCTGGGTGCCCGCAGGCCCTGGGGACCCGGCCGGTGCTGCCACTCTGCAGCCCTGGGTGTTGCCCAGTGAGGCCACAGTGTGGGGTGTCAGAGGCCTGTTCATCGATGGCACACAGCAGGCGCCTGTGCAGGCCTGGGTGGACAGAGTGCCTGCCACCAGGGACCCGTCTTGAGTGCCCCTTCTTGGTCTCCTAGAGCTCAAAGCCCAAACTGCAAGCAGCCTGCTCCAGCATCCAGGAGGTCCGGCGGTGCACACGCCTGGAGATGCCCGACAACCTCCACACCTTCGTGCTCAAGGTGGGTCATAGAGCTGTGCATAGCCCAGGCCCCCGCGGACATGCCTCAGCCCGACAGCTGTTCCCTCCCTCTGCCAGGTGAAGGAGCGGACAGACATCATCTTCGAGGTGGGGGACGAGCAGCAGCTGAATTCGTGGCTGGCCGAGCTCCGGGCGTGCACAGGCCGAGGGTGAGGCCCGAGACCCCTGCCGCTGGCACAGCCTCTTCTGCCCTAACCTGCGCCCCCCAGTCACGTGTGGCCTCTTCTCCAGCAGGCTGGGGCACAGCGATTCAGAGCCACGTGTCCCCTCCCCCCTGGAGCCCAGCACGCCCAGGGGAAGCACAGACGCCCCTAACCAAGGTGAGTGGAGCCTCGGTCCAGGGTCAACCCATCTTCTCTTTAAGGTTTATTTATTTGAGAGAGAAATCTTCCATCTGCTGGTTCACTCCCCAAATGGCTACCGAAGCCAGGAGCTGCTTCTAGGTCTCCCACGTGGGTGGCAGGGGTCCAAGCACTGCTGCTTTCCCAGGTGCATTAGTAGGGAGCTGACTGGAAGTGGAGCAGCCGGGACTCGAACCAGGGCCCATGTGGGATGCCGGCACCGCAGGTGGCAGCTTTACCTGCTGTGCCACAGCACCGGCCCCTCCCATCTTCTCTCCCAGCTGCTGCTCCTGGGGGGCTGCTGGACCCAGCTTGCCAGAAGACGGATCATTTCCTGTCCTGCTACCCCTGGTTCCACGGCCCCATATCCAGAGTGAAGGCAGCACAGCTGGTGCAGCTGCAGGGCGCGGGTGCTCACGGAGTGTTCCTGGTGCGGCAGAGTGAGTCCCGGCGTGGGGAGTACGTGCTCACGTTCAACTTCCAGGGCAGAGCCAAGGTAGGGGGGCAGGGCAGGTGGGCTGTGCCACCCTTCCCCTCGGGGCCCGGGACCCCTGGGGCAGTCCAAGCCCACCAGCACCTTCTCCCGCAGCACCTCCGCCTGTCGCTGACCGAGCGGGGCCAGTGCCGTGTGCAGCACCTGCACTTCCCCTCGGTCGTGGACATGCTGCACCACTTCCAGCGCTCGCCCATCCCACTCGAGTGCGGCGCCGCCTGCGACGTTCGGCTCTCCAGCTACGTGGTAGTTGCCCCCCAGCCACCAGGTGTGACTGCAGGGCCCTGTGCTCAGGGGGAGCAGGCACAGGTGGACCCGGTGGTGGGGAAAGGCCGGCTACAGACCAAGCTAGAGCGAGCCTGCTGCAGCGTGGTGGCAGGCGCAGCAAACCGACCGCGCGGTCTCTCTCGCTTGCTTGTCCTAGGCTCCTGCAGCACCGTCCTGTTCCCGTTCTCCCTCCCTCGCTGGGATTCAGAGCTGGGCCTTCCCCACCTGGGCTCTTCTGGCTGTCCCCAGGGGCTCAGCCGAGAGGGTCACCCAGGCCGATCCTCGCCACCTGAGCAGATCTTCCACTTGGTGCCTTCGCCCGAGGAGCTAGCCAACAGCCTGCGGCACCTGGAGCCAGAGCCCGGGAGTCGAGCCAGGGACTCAGACTACGAATTGGACACATCCTCACGGAGCCACCTGCGGGCCATAGACAACCAGTACACAGCGCTGTGACGACACGGAGATGCGGAACGTGCCCATCTTTCCTTCCTTCCAGTGAGAGACTGAAGGGACACTGGTCACTGTGCTGTCCAGGGTGGATGTGACCCTCTTATCAGGCCTGTTAAAGGGCCTCCGCGAGTCTCCCAGCGGGAACCTGCACTGTCAGGGGTGATGACAGACTTTCTGCTGTTGGGGGAGGGGGTGATCAGGAAGTCCAAAACACTACCAAGCCCCGGATTCTCACGTGGCTTCCCCACTGTAGCTCCAACCTGTGGCGCTACACCTCGTTCTGTTCTCAGCTTCAAGACAAACGCTGTATCAGAGGGACAAGCTCAAGGTCAAAAATGATTTAAACATTTTACCTCAGGTTAGTTTTTAAAGAATTCAGGTTTCAAAACTAAATCAGTGCTTATTTCTTTGCACTGTTCCACCTTGCACCCCTGCGGTTCTGTCGCCAGACAGCCACGCAGACCCTGCTGTCGCCCCCCTCCAGGGCAGGCAGCCACTGTCCCGCCCCAACACGGAGCAGTGAAGTATGCCACCCTTTCAGGGAACGTCAGGCAATGAACCGCAATAGGGCGGCAAGGAAGAGTCCCTACCCTGGTGCCTTATGAATAAAAAAGTGGATTCTGGTTCACAGCCGCTTGACGGTGAGAGTAAATTAGTGGTGGTGGGTACGTGTGGCAGACAAGCATAAAGGGAAGGCGGACTCAGCCCCCATCCCACAGCCTACTCAATGACAACACCGAGTCTACTACCCCACGAGTGGGTCTGACTCCTTTGGACCCAAAATGGAAGCCAGGGCACAGCGGCCACCCCTGGGAGGGTTCCCAGGGCTAGCAGATCTGCACCTAGACTTGCCTTTCCAAAGTGCTGAGATTGGGGGGGGAGGGGCTGACTCCTTCCCACCTTCCCGTGGCGGCCTGGGGAACAAGGGGGCAAAAGTTCGCTCTGGCACCACCTCGTGGTGTGGTATGTACAGGTGCATCAGGCCCACAGCTGACACTACCAACTGCTTTCTCAAGGGGCAGGTTTGGTGTGCTCCTACTCTTCTCTAGCCCGAAGGATCAGCCTTTTGCTTCTAAAAATGCTCTAGAAGCTGGGGAAGCAGCCATTATTCCCAGGTGTTGTCATGGACCATAAAACAGGTTTAACACTCATCCAGACTTGCAGTTCACTTTCACGGATCCTGTCTTCTACAATAAAGCAGGTTTCACCATGAAACCAAGATCATTGCAGACCATCAGTGCCTGGCTGCACAGGTAAGGGCCGGCGAGGTATCCAACCACAGCTCTCATCTCTTAGCAGACTTGGGCAGTGCCCACACACCAGGTACAGCAAACTTAGGGATCTTTGCAGCCAGAAAGAAGCTAACGAAACTGGAAGTCAGCTGCCTCCACACTGCTGCTTTTCTGAGTGTGCTGTCCAAGTTTTAAGCAGGGCAGCTCGGGGACCTTCTGAAAAAATCCCCCTGCTGGCGCTGGGACAAAGCGACACTAAGCTGATGCCTTTTCTTCGTGCTAGAGTCAGGTCCAGCTGGAGGGGGTGGGGGCGGGAGGAGTGGGCTCAGTCCCTGGGCCAAATGCAGCCTTCGCAGGGCAGGCGAGCGGCCCACTGCAGGCATGGCCCGCCCCACTGCTGCTGGCGGGTGCCGAGGCCACGCCAGCCCTTGGAGAGTCTGGCTCCAAGCACAGCTGCACAGCGAGCCTCACGGCCCCTCCCGCCTGCTCTGCTCGCAACCACAAGTGCCGCCGCACAGCCCCCAGCAGCCTCACTCCCGTCGTCTACTACTGAGCTTCGGCAAACTAACAGTCACCAGCACCAAAGAATTAAGTCAACTAACCTGCCTTGACTTTTAGACCAGCAATCCATAGGGCTTTATCTGGTATAAATCTTCTGCCTTTCATCAGTTCTGGACCATGTAGGAGAAAGGAATGGCAATCATTAACATCTTGGGCCAGAACACTGTTTTTACTTAACAGTTTCTTAGCCTCACTCAAGGCCCCTGAGGGCCTCCTGAGATCCCCCGCCGTTGCATTTTTATTCGGGGCTAAGCCTCTTCTGTGGGCGTCTCCCACAGTCTTAGGGAACTCAATAGTGCCCTGCCCACTGCTCTGAACACATCTGACACCCAGTGTCGGGCTGGGGTGAGCGCACTGTGATGACACAAGTGAGCTCACCTTGTTTCACTCTAGGCAGAAAGGTATCTGGCAAAGTTTTTTGTATTGTTTATGTACTATATATAAGTAACTTATTCTGAAATAATGCACATTTTGCTATAATGTACAAATTGCTATGTGAATTAAAGTTTTCAGACTTTTGATCTGCTGCCAGTGTGTAGAGGCTGTCTCCCCCTGCCCCCACTCGCCAGTCCACGGCCCTGGGCTGCTCTGTTGCTGGTGTCTTTTCAAGAGTCTCCTGCCACCACCCGCTGGGTCTGAGGGCTGGGGGGGAAGGAGGGACGGAGAAGGGGGCTTACAGGACATGCGGGGGCGCGGAGCTGCGGCGCTGCCAGCCTCCTCCTGGTGCAGACGCGACTCCGCCACAGAGCATATCTCAGTCTTGTCTTTCTCTAGAGAGCCCTTGAACCAGAACTGCAGGTGAAGAAGAAAGGTCACTGGACCAGCACCTGCCGGGCCGGGAACAGCGCGCAGAGCCCGTGCCCGCTCACACAGACACACACTAACTGGGTAGCAGTTTTTAAAACTTTTTTTATTTTTAAATTTTTTTTAAGTTTTTATTTTATATTATCTACAAAGTAAAAGTTTTTTCCCTTAACTTAAAAGTTGAACCACTGAGACAGTGATCACTTCATCAAACTTGATTTATAAATAATAATCCGTCAGTTTGACGGTAAGAATTGACTGAAACCTTTGTCAAGTTTAGTAAAAGGGTGTTCCAAGTCTTGATTTTTTTGTTTTAAGCGGTAATAGCAGCAAGAATCACTCTTGTTACTTCTTTTGCTAGCTGATGTGTTCATGACTTTCAAGGGCCATTAAAAAATAAATAACTTCCAGTTTTGGCAAGCAGAGCTGGGGTACTTGCGGGACTCTGCAAACAGCATGTGGAATTATGGACAGCCCCAGGTTCCTACAGTGCCTCTACTCGGGCCAAGTATCTTCCACTGCAAGTGAGCTGTTAGCATTCCTATTGGATGTTACAAGAAATCAACGTATATCGTTTAAAAACAAAATAAGTGAACTTCTAGTTTTCTGTGCTTCCAGCTGGTAGAAGCAGGAGCAGGGGGGAGGGGATCTGGCCCTTCGGCTCCTCCAGGGCAGCCTTACAGCTGCTGGTGGTGGTGGGCTTGTACTGTAAGAGAGAAGAGTGAGCATTTAAACAGAACGCTGCAGCACGGCCCACGAGCCCAGAGTCCGCAGCGCGTGCCTGCATCTAGCCTTGGCTAGCTAGGAGGAGACTCCAAGTTTAATTCACTGCCCCCCTCCCAATCTGCATCACGTGGGGAGGGCTGGGTGGGTGGGGGGGTGGGTAGATAGAAACAAGCCAGTCAGACATGAAACCACTTCAGATAAACTCCCAGAAGACTTGTTGCTCATGGGGTAGGAAAAAAGGCCTTCACATACCCCCTCCCTCATATTAGCCAAGCACCAGGAAGACCGTCCACGACCGCCATGGCAGCCATCAGTACTGCAGAACGACCACGGGGCACTCCTGCTGTCAGGACGGAGGCTGCAGCTGACCCTGCACTCGAAACCAGTCCACACAGCACTTGCTCATCACTGGTCTGTTCCAAGCTACAATCAGATTCGGCCATGGTAATAACCCCCCACGTGTCCAACGGTCGGGACGCAGGACGGAACCACGGCCCTGTCCAGCCTGTCATAACCAGGAAGGCCAACTGTGCCCTAGGCATGCATCAGCTACCCAGAATGCTGCTGCTGCTTCTCATCAAGTCAAATCCTGGACACCATCAAAACACACAGACTCGGCCCTGACACGGAACTGACGGTCACAGTCCCTCCTGCGCACGCTTGCATGGGGCTTGCTAGTTCTCAGGTGTGAGGCTGGAAGCACTGGCCCTGCCTGCCATTCGACCTGTGCGAGCAGAATGCTTGGGGTGCCCCGGCGGCCCCTGCACACACACGCCTCACCTGAAGGGTGCGTCATATAGGGGAAATGCGCTGTTGTCGAGACTGGAATGGGCTGTAGTGCACTTTGAGCGAGGGCGGCCTGGGGACCGCCGGGTGGCTGTGTCGTCATTAGCATCATTGGCGCATGGGCAGTTGGATGAGAAGGAACCATTCCTGACTGTACATGAGCCTGAAACAGAGAGCTCTTTTACGCATACAGGCAACATCTCCGGCTTAAACAATATGTCAACTGTGTTCCTTTCACTGGGCTGGGAGTCTCAGGAAAGGGCAGCAGCAGGCCCAGGCCCCCTTTCTTTTCTCTGGGGACACTCCTTAGTTCACCTTTTTGGCAGCTCCTGCAAGGCTGGAGGAGCCTAGATAAAACATCAGGGCCCCAATGACTGGGTCATTAAACTCTGAGCACAGAACTCATGTGTGGGCCAAGGTCTTCAACAAGAGCAGACCCCTGATCCAAGAACAGCTTTCTCAACTGAGCAACGCAAGACCCGATGATGCTTCCGCAGCGGGCCTCCGGGGGCCTGAGCGGGTGCTGCAGAGCACACCCCTCGCAAACAGCAAAGCAGGGGCTGTCCGCTGTGCCAGTGCGCGGTTCTCCGCCCGCTCCTTGTCTGCCTGTCTCCCTCTGCTTGTGGCCTGCTCCCCCAGGCAGGAAAAAGAAACGTGGCTTCCTTCACTCTAGAGAACATGCTGACTGGGCAGGAGGAGGAGCAGGTGCAGTCAGGGCTCCCGTGAGATGGAAGGAATCCTCTGCAGTGACCTGGGCCAGCAGTCTACCAGTGTCTACCGAGGGACGGGGAGTCCGAGTAGGAAAGGCAGCTGCAGGCAGCCCACGGCAACACTCACTTTCTGCCTCCCACACTGGGCACGGCTCGAGACCGGGACAAGCCTGCACCAAACACTGCTTCTGCTCCCTCACAAATTCAAACGGGCCCAGGACCTACTTGGGCTTCCCTGGGTTGACCTTTTGCTCTTTCTGCACAGAAGCACAAACGTGAGGTTGCAGGGACCTCTCTTGCAGGGAAGCTCACATACCTACTTAGCCACCAGCCTCGGCTAGACACCTACAGGACCCCAGCTCCCATGCAGCTCATTCCACCACACCGTGCTGGTCCACACTGACCAGAACCAGCTCCCCGCCGGCTCCCAGAAGCACACCAACTGCAGTGCACTGCCCCGCAGAACTACCCTCGGCAGGCGAGGCCGCCCGACTCCCCGGAGCTGCGGCCCCCCAGTCAGACTGAGTCGCATCCAGCCCGTCCCTCACTAGCACCACGCTGGAGCACTGCCTGGCAGGAAGCCTCAGAGTTGGTATGAAAGGAGCAGAGACGTCCGACACAGCCACCTCGCCTTGCCTAGCCCTGGGAGGGCCGCCAGGACGGCGTCAGAGCCCACCCTCAGCACGGCTCTTCGGCCACCTCAGCCCTCGCCAGCAGCAGGTGCACAGAGCCACCCCTGACGGCAGCCAGCCTGCCAACCCTGAGCAGCTCCCTGCAGGGGAGCTCCCAAGTGCTTCCAGAGCTGCTCCTCAAGAGAAAATGAGAACACCTGGAGCTTCCAGCGTCTCACTCACTGCACCAATGGCCAAGGTCAGGACCCTCACAAAGTACAGCACACGGTCCAAGTGGGCATACGGGTCGTCGGGGGGATGACTGGTGTGATGTCTCTGGAACTCCAGGACTCCCACCTTGGAGGGCTGAGTCTGAAGTCCATGATCCCTGCCAAGCTTGCGTGTGTGTGTGTGCGTGCGTGCACGCGGAGACAAGAAATGTATGTACACACATGTATAGTGATAAAGCTGTAGAGACATAGCAAAGCAGACACAGAAAGGAAAAGAGTGGGCTGCATTCCAAAGTCAAAGATGTTCTGAAGGTCTCAGGTGGGCAACGTTCAAGGACTGACCAATTAGCAACTCTGCTGAGCCCATTACAAAACCACACATACATTAATACAGGGCCAAATCACGTGTGTTTGAGCGGGAAAAGGGAGAACAGGCAAACAGCGTCACACACAGGGTTTCCTAGCTGGGAGAGCGAGCGGCTCTTCGCTGCTTGTCTGATAACCTTCACCGTCTACCTGCTCTGACAGCTGGCTTACCTGAGGTACGTGGGCCATGTGGGCTGGGTTGGTATACGCCGGCTGGACGTGAGAAGGGTGGATCGTGAAGACGGTCTGCTGTGCTGCTGGGAAACCGCTCTGTGGCGACTGCGTGTTGGAGGCAGGTGTCATGGAAGGGGGGGTTGGAGCGAGCCCCGCGTGGTAGATGGCTGACTGCTGCTGTGGACTGGCCAGGTGGAGAGCTTGGGCGGCCTGGTGCTGATGGTGCTGCAAAATGATGGCGAACAACTGAGAGGAGAACTCCAATGCACTCCAAGCAGCTGGAGGTTACAAAAAAACAGGCTTCACATGGGCCCAACTGGCGTGAGGGGTGCTGGAAGGCACAGGGAGTGACAGCAGGGCTGGGGGCCTCCTGTCTAGAGACAGCCCTTTCTGGAACACAGGAGCCCAGTCCTCAGTCTGGCAGTAACAAACTCCCAACCAAACAGTGGTCAGCCAAGACCTCCGCCAGAGATGAAGCCAAGCCAGCAAGGAAAAAAAACACAAGTCTGGGCAGTTCAAGCCAGCAGCTAAGCTGCTGGCGAAGGTGCCAGCACCCCTGTCGGAGTCCTGCACCTGCTCCCTGGCTCCAGCTTCCTGCCAGTGCAGACCACAAGAGGCAGCACTGACGGCTCAAGTACTTGGGTTCCTGTCACCCACACAGCAGACCTGCACTAAGTTCCTGACTCCCAGCTGCAGCTTAGCCCTGGATAATGGTTGTTGTGGGAGTGAACCAGCAGACAAGAACTCACTTGCCTCTGCCTCTCAAATAAATCAAATTTAAAGAAAAAAAATCTCATCAACTTTTAGAATGAAGTAAAAAAGTCCAAAGGAAATAGGAATGTTAAATTATGAACATTTTGTCAATAAGATTTTCCAACATCAATCTGTTTCCAGAGCCCATCCACTTGTCCCCCACCCCAGGGCCCAGCTGTGCACTGCAGCCCTGAGGGCGGACGTGCAGTCTGACCAGGGAGCAGGCCAAGCCTCGCCTAGTGCTGGACACAGCAAGGCTCTGCAGGCCTCCAGGCAGCTCCTTACCTGAACAGGACTGGGTGCAGGATGACTCCCACCATGCTGACTCTGCTGCTGTCCGGTAGGTGTCGCTGAAGGCTGAGGATGTGGAGTATGTGGGTGCAGGGTAGCATTAGGATGTGCGTACTGCTGAGCAAGGGAGCCCGTGGAAACTAGAGTGGAAGAGAAGGGAGCATGTGCATCCGGCGCGTGGTGGCCCTCCTCACCAGGCCCCCCCGCCCAGCCCTGGCGGCAAAGCCTCTATCAAGCCACGGCCAGTCTCAGCAGCGGGCTCCATTTACACCCGTCACTGTCTTGAAATAATAACTTTAACAAGAAGACTAGTCTCTGATTCATTATCAAACTGATTAATAAACAGCTGTGTGTATATACATATATATATAAAATCCAATTTTTAATTCACTTTAAAAATAGTCACTAGGTTTTCCTGAAAAGGCTACATAAAAGCATAGGCAGAAATAACTCAAACAGCTGTGCAAGATACACACACACACACACACACACACACTCCCTCCCGCTTCAGTTCAAGGCCATCATCTGGCTAACCTCACCATGCTACTGCCCTGGAGCTGGCACAATGTCCTGCAGCCACAGACTACAGGGGCTGCATCAAGTATGAGGCAAGGTCAGGGTTCTACTACCAGGGCCAATGACCACAAATCTCTTTCAGTCGATCACAGGAGCTGCTCTGACGCTCAGCTCATTCCCCAGGCCCTACTCAGTCTTCCCACTTCTGCTTTTTAAAAATCTAGATGAAATGACCTGACCTACACAGAAAAATTAACTTCCCTCAAAGTGTTCCAGCCCTTTAGAATGAATTCTACTGGCTAGAATGACTTCAAAGAAAACGTGATCAGTTCACATTAACATGTTTATGGGGTCTGTGCTGTGGGATAATGGGTAAAGCCACCACCTGCAGTGCCAGTATCCCACATGGGCACCGGATGGAGTTCCAGCTGTTCCACTTTTTTTTGGGGGGGGGGGCAGGCAGAGTGGACAGTGAGAGAGAGAGAGACAGAGAGAAAGGTCTTCCTTTTGCCGTTGGTTCACCCTCCAATGGCCACCAAGGCCGGCGCGTTGCAGCTGGCGCAGCGCGCTGATCCGAAGCCAGGAGCCAGGTACTTCTCCTGGTCTCCCATGGGGTGCAGGGCCCAAGCACTTGGGCCATCCTCCACTGCCTTCCTGGGCCACAGCAGAGAGCTGGCCTGGAAGAGGGGCAACCAGGACAGAATCCGGCGCCCTGACCGGGACTAGAACCCGGTGTGCCGGCGCCGCAAGGTGGAGGATTAGCCTAGTGAGCCGCGGCGCCGGCCTTGTTCTACTTTCGATCCGGCTCCCTGCTAATGTGCCTGGGAAAGCAGCAGAGGGGTGGCTCAGTCCTTGGGCCCCCGTACCCATGTGTGAGACCCAGAAGAACCTCCTGGCTCCTGGCTTCAGATCAGCTCAGCTCTGGCCATTGCAGCCATTTGGAGAGTGAACCAGAGGATGGAAGATCGATCGATCTCTCTCTCTCTCTCTCTCTCTCTCTCTGTAACTCTTTCAAATAAATGAAGTAAATCTTTATATTAAAAGATATGTTTATTAAACCTAAAAGCCCAAGGCCAGTTCTTTGTGAATTTCAGAATGGACTATACCCTAGCACAAAATGGGGGAGATTAGGTACAAATTCAATTGCCCACATCTTCCCAAAACCGCAATTTGAGACTTCAAAGCACAGTGAGATGTGTTCACTGCTTCCAGTGACCGTGGGGAACAGGGAGCTGAGAATAAGGCATTCTAAAGATGCAGCTCTAGCAATGCATAACTCTGGCTTGCTCTCAAGGAGTGCACCCTAAAATCCCATGGAAGCAAAGCCAGCACACAGAAACAATCCCAAAATAGTTTCTCACATTCTTCATACACATGTTAGCAGCAGAGACAGATGGGGGCGGGAGGCTGATGGGGAGAGGCAGGCACTAATAACTGGGATTAGGCACATGAACTCCAGCAGTCAGAGAGGCCAGGCCACTTAAGAGTCTCCAGCACAGAGGGCACTGGGCATGGCCCATATAAATGGAATGGTAAGCAAAGGATCAGACACACGGAGGGTTCTTGAATGGGCCACCAACACTCCAGTCCAACTGCAAACGGCTCTCCCACAAGAGCAATGGGAAGGCAGAGCCAGCACTAGTGCGGCCTGTGCATCCACTGCCAATACCACAGCCGGCATTACTAGTCTCAGTTTTAATCGTATGCTGGGAGAATCTTCCTACGCTGGAATACTGTGACAAGAAAGCTGTGGCAACACAGCCACTGGCCGTGAATGCAGCACAGTGGTCCCTCTTCCAGCTCAGCTGCTCTGCAAGGCCACCCCACGCCACACCCTGGTCTGGTTCACTCTGAGCTTCCACAGTCGACAGCACGCGCTTGGTCTAAAGGACCGAGCGTTCTCAACCTGACCCTGTTCTTGTGAGAATTCTGCTCTCCCAAAAAAGTCCTCCTGTCTCCTCGTGTGCCTTATCTGTAGCAATCTGAAATCTGTCTGAGGGAAACCAATTCCCAAATCCCATTTATGGGGCTTTATAAAGATAGAATACAGAATCCCAGAGGTTTACATTTATATTTAAACAATACTTATTCAAGAAATTTGGAACTGAAAAATTTTAAATTTTGCTTTTAATCACCTTCTAAGCAATTATATTCTTAACACAAAGATGCAAACTCTAGCTGTGTGCTGTATTATTTTTACACATAAAAACATGGCTACTGCAAAGAGAGTAACTATACTTATGAAATCTCGTAATTACTCATCACTTGGAAAAATGTAAAAACCTTAAAATTTGGAGAGACAGGCTGATACACTATTACTATGGATTTTCAAGGCATTTCTGTGATATGTTTACTAATATGTAAAGGCTCTAATCTCTAGCTGATTTGCATGCATAGCAACAAACACTAAAATCCTTCTCCCAAAAACCTCAGCCCTTCCCTGCCTAACTACCAGGTAAACTTAGAAGATATTTCTAGAAAAAGATTAAGGAGATTTAGTTAGAAATATCTTCCTTTGTTACTCTTCTAGCTCACAAGATCTGAAACCAAAATTTCCCTCAAATGGAAAAATGAGTAACTAATAAGGGAAAATGTGAAATTTACTTTTTAATTCAATACTATTAACAAAGTTTATAAAGTCCAGTTCCTTGAAAGGCCAGTTAAGAACGATATCTAATGAGGCAGAAGAGAAGTTAAAAGGGCAAGTGGAAAAAAAGCCTGGAAGAGAGAGATGGGAAAGAAAACAAGCTTAGTGGAGTCAAAAAGGAGAAAACAGCCGCGTCAGGAACGGGGGAGGTGCGGAGTGGAGGTGGGAAGGAAGCTCTGCTCTGAGCTAAGGGCTAACTGCGCTTGCAACAAGTGCTCCTTTTAGCTCAAGATGCCAGGGAAGTTAAAAATCCAGTGAACTGTCCTTGAATTCTCATGCCATCACACAGCAGCTGAGCTCCTATTCATGAGGCTGAAGCGGCCTTCCCGAAGCCTCCGGGCACGCAGCACTGCTCCTATGTGGCCAGCTGTGGTTCGGAAATTTCCCCACTCATTCCTGCTCCACCTGTTTTACCTGACATAAATATTTAAAGTTCTGTATGATTGGTAAGATCCTTACGACACGAACCCAAGTAACAGTCTTCTAAGCCCACGTCTTAACAAACTCAGTCCACAGGCTACATGTTTAGTCTGTTTTTAGGCTTTATCATTTTGACCTTGGATGCACAAGTCATGAGAGATCGCCAGCACTGCATCAAAGCAACATCTCCACTTCTTAAACGCGACGTTGGATTCAGAACAAGGCCAGCGAAGGAAGACAGCCAGAGGGGAAGAGAGCGACACGACCAAACCATGACAAGATGGCTCAGCAGGGGAGACAAAGCACAAATCATTCCACAGACAGCCCCCAACTGTTAGTCTCTGGTCTGGTACTGTCTCTGAGGGGAAGCTGTGCTAAGGCAATTAATGCTTAGGTGTGATGATGAAGGACCTTTTAGCGACTTACCAGGAAAATGACTGCACACTACTGACAGAGACAGTAAGATGGTGAGGATAACTGCATCTGAGACCTCAGGTTGAACTGCACATAGTGAAACTAATAACGGACACTATCTTCGCACACTAATCACAGACAGAGGCTCCCTTTAATGGTATATGCATACAGCAAGACTCCTTTTTAAAGAGCATCTATTAAAGGATTAAATTTGTTAACATTTCCTAGCACCACATAAATTACTTATGTTTTATCAACTTATTTTTGGATACCAAGTCATGGCACAATTAATGAAAATTTAAGGTCAAAATGCTTTCTAAATGCAAAATCTGGCATGTAGTAGAGTCAGGCACTGAGCCATTCCAAAATAATTCAAAACTTACTCTGTTACACAAAACGGTAACCCGCAGCCCCTCTGGAATCCCGTGTTTCACACAGAAGGCTGCACGCTGACGGAACGCATCTCTGACGCACTTCTACAAGCCAGTACCCCTTCTACCCAGTACCAAAGGCCAGGATGTGTCTTCTTTTAAAGTTGCTCTGTACACAGGGGAGACACTGAGTCCTCTGAGTTCACTCTGGAAGCAGGCTCTGCCCAGGCCTGCCCTATTTAGGCACAGCCCTCCCCTTCTCCCTGGTGGGTGGGGAGTCTGGAGCGCAAGACACATGCCAGGTGCCTGCTACCTGAGCTCTCACCTGCCGCTGAGCAAAGACTGGGAGAACACAGGTGTTCCTCCCCTCGCATCTTTCACCCTTCTGTAACGAAAAATCCTGGAAGGATAAATTTCCTCTTAGCAGGATACATTAGTAGTTTATTCCAAGTTGTGGCTTGAGTAAAAAATGTTCTCTGTTTAGGGAAAGTTGCTCTGAATAAGGCATCTGCCAAATACTTACGTTTGCTTGGTATGCAAAAATTTATTTTGGAAACAACTTAATTTTTAAATTCCAGCTTTATTAAGCTATATCATATTTCTTTTAAGTTCTGAATCACTGAAATATACATATAAGATTAGACATAATTTAAATAAATTACTCAAAATTTCATGGAAAACTTGCTTCAGCAGGTATATATATATTATATATACCTTTAAATGATTTTGTCTGGCACAAGGAAAATATTGTTCAACAAGTCTATTCCCTTAACATGTATTCTTTAAAAAGTGTTTTACTGTACAATTAAAATTAGTATAAAAAACCCAACTCACTGGCAAAGTAGAAAGAAGGGCTTGTCTCCTTGTTGTATGGTAATTTGGGACATGCTGAATTTGGGAAATAGAAAGGTAAATTAGCCTTTAAGGTGTGCATTTTCCTAATCTTCTGGAAAGGTTGACATAATTAATAACTTTTTGTATTCATGCATAATTAATTTTTACTTTACAAGAGAAGATGAGCACCTTAAACACTGCTACAGAATTTAAAGACTTTTCTTCTGTATTGGGTGTCAAGTTCCACCTGCTGACTCACTTAAATAAAAGGAATAAAATCATTTTCTAATAAAAAGACCAACATGGCATTTCACTGAACAATCTTGACATAAAAAAGTACTAACATAAAACACTATTTTCCAAGTTTAGGCAAAAGACATACAATTCTGCAAACATCATAAATAGAAATGTTCTTCTGGTAGATGGAATTTCGGCATCTGGCAGTGGAACCAAAGTCTGAGGGACGGTGACACCAACGTGAGAATGCTATCCTTTCCTAGTGAGCCCTGTTGTCAAGTGTGTGTAAATGTACCTGGAGGCAGACACACAGCGAGGGATAGTGAGAACTTTCCAGTTTTTTTTTTTTCTTACTCTCTTTTCTAACTGATTTGCATCAAACGGTCAAAAATAAACCAAAAATGCCTCTGGATCTAACTCTCCTGTCGGCTCTAGTTGGTAGTGACAGCCTTAGTTACTGAAAGGTACAACCATCAGCATAAAACACAATCAGATGGATGTGAAGGCAGCAGAAACCAAAGTGCTCAGGGGGAGGGCCAGAGATGCCACTCCTGACCAGAGTACGCGGTCAGCAGTGATGTGAAACGTCCACCTCCTCCTATTGGCACCATTTAGTTGTTCAGTTATCTGCTAGCACACAAGTTTAAAATAATCAAGTCTTCACTCTGTAGTCACTGCTGGTCCTCAATTTCACCACGCCTGAAACAATTAACGTGACACAAAACTGCCACTGCCATCTAGGGCACGTTTCCCTGCCTGCTGGCATTAAAACCTCTAAAATCTGAGATAGGATGCAGCTTACAAATAAACAGAATTCATACTCAAAGTATGTGGCTCCTTCGGGAATATAAAATATACATTGCTCAAGGGAAATAAGATCAGATATAAAATAAATAAATTAATGAAGATTTCATGAAAAACTTGCTTCAGCAGATTAAACTGTGGCTTACAAAAAATATTTATTTCCCAAGGTCTGAAGAACCCAAAGGAGAAACTTGATTAACAATCCTATCAAGGCCTCCCTCCCCTTCTCCCTGCTGCCCCATCAACAGAAACCAAGGGAACACAACTTGCACCAGGCTGCAGGGAGTACATCAGACTTGGCCAAGCAACTTTTCTCCTGGCACAAAGAACTGGCTTTGATGACTAGTTCATTGCTGATTTCATTGGACATTAGGTCTAGTGTTTTGCTTGCAATATTTCCTATTTACCCACACTTGCACGGACTTAGGTAGGGGTGAGGTTCAAAGCCAACTGCTTTTCAAATGGCAATATTCTGGGAGGGTACTTTACATCCAGGTTGTTTCAACAAGAAGCAACCACCTAGAGAGGGAACCTGGAGCTGGCAGCCAGGGAGAAAGCCTGTGCACAACACTGTAGGATTTACCACAGCGTCTCCAAACATCGCTACCCAAAAAGCTGCTCTCTAAAAGCAATGGAAACTTTAGCTTAAGAGTTTCAGATCTCATTCCAACGGGAGCATGGAGCATTCCAAGAGGAAAATATCCTCCCAGAAAATCGAAGGAAAGAAATGTTTTCTTCTATTTGTTAATTTATGATGTATTCAACAGAAATGTATAAACAATCATAATGAACTTTTCACTAAGTCTTCAGCAAACTGGAAAATTATTAGAATATATATATGTTGCATAAAAGCCAACGTGATGAACCAATGGGGCCGTTTTGTACATACACTCATCCAAGTTGAGAGAACTGAAGATAAGCCAAAGGACAGGAGAGTATAACCAAAACCATACTCTGCATCAGTCAGTGCATTTTTCAGTTACATTAGAGATGAGCTTCTTGAACAAATATTTCCTAAAACATAGTACTTATGCCACTTTAAAAAAATGCATAATCCATAGTGGAGAGTTTTAAGTGATAATGTGGAACATTAAAACCAGACTTCATAGTTTATAAACATGAATGTCTTTAATCAAGCACAATTCCTATCAATGGTGATGCCAGGCTGCAGGTATGCACGTCTAGGAAAGCATCCACTGCAGGTTCCTGCTGACAAGGAGGCCGCTGTGGCTGCCTCCTGCACTGTGGCATAGTAGGTTAAGTCTCTGCCTGTGGCTTTGGCATCCCACATGGGCACCAGTTCAAGTCCTGGCTGCTCAACTTCTGATCTGGCTCCCTGCTGATGGCCTGGGAAAGCAGTGGAAGATGGCCCAAGTGCCTGGGCCCCTGAACCTACATGAAAGACCCAGAAGAAGCTCCTGGCTTTGGATTGGCTCAGCTCCCACCATTATAGCCATTTGAGGAATGGACCAGCAGATGGATGATCTCTGTCTCTCCTTCTGTGTCTGTAACTCTATCCCCCAAATAAATAAATAAACCCCTCCTGTTTATAAATAAATGAAAAACAGTAATATTTCCAAAAAGGAGATTTACCAAAATACTTGTAAATTCTTAACTTAATTTTGCCTAGACATAGTCATTCAACAAATCTGAAGTTTAAAAAAAAGGTAAGATAATATTTACATTCTGAGTCATTCGAAAAGTTTAAAGAGGTTTAAAAACTGAAATGTTCATGCAGTTGCCTGTAACTGTAATTTAACACTCAAAGTGGTACACTTTTAAATTAGACAGATAAGCCCAAACTTATCTCCTGCTTTCAATAGACTGAAATGCCAACGAAGAAGCCTAGATGACAACACAGGAGTTCTCAGAAATATTCAGGCCAAAGCTGACATGAGTGAGATTGGTACGGATTCACAGTGAAGTTCCAAAGACATAACGAGGCATTCTGTTAACTCTAAGCTCTACAAGTGGAAAATTATTTTAAATTCTCAACATTAAAAAATGTATTATCTTAGTATTTTAGACAGCTCTCAGAGTGACCTACACAAAGTTCTCTGGCCACAAAACTAAGCTGATTGGTTTCTTTGCTTATTCTTTGTATAAAGGTTAGTACTTCAAAAACTTCCTGGGAAATTGGAATTAAAAGTTTACTTTGTTGCAAAACATTTTGAAATCCATGCACAAAAGGGGTCTTCAAAAAGTTCATAAAATGCATGTTAGGGGGCCGGTGCCGTGGGTTAAAGCCTCAGCCTGTGGCGCCAGCATTCCATATGGGCGCCGGTTCTAGTCCCAGCTGTTCCACTTCCGATCCAGCTCTCTGCTATGGACTGGGAAGGCAGTGGAGGATGGCCCAGGTTCTTGGGCCCCTGCACCCACGTCAGAGACCCGGAAAAACCTCCTGTCTCCTTGCTTTAAATTGGCACAGCTCTGGCCATTGTGGCCATATGAGGAATGAACCAGCAGATGGAAGACCTCTTTCTATCTCTGGCTTTACCTCTCCCTGTAACTTTCAAAGAAATAAAAATAAATCTTAAAAAAAAAAATGCATGTTATGAATAACCTATGCACAGACTTCAAAGAATTTTTTTTACAGAAATGAACATGCTGCAGTTTCATCTTCCATGAACTTTCTGAAGTCTGTTCATATTGAAATAATGTTTATTTTTAGAGAAAATACTTCTGGTTTCCATTTTACCATTTTGCTTATATACTGATTACATTTAGAGTGCGAATCAGTGTCAATATAAGCAGCAGCTTTGACAACACAGAAAGCCAGCGCCGGCCGAGCGAGGAGTGCGGCAGGCCTCTTGGTGCAGAAGCGCGCATTCAAGCCCTGCACGCTCCGCTGCGCGGCCCCCCCAAACCATAACACTGAGGAGGAGGAGGAGGAGGGAGGCGCCTTTCTCCACAAAACTGTGCCTTAATCATCACCTTCTAGGTAAAGTAGGAGACGTGTGAAGAAAGACGCATCCCAGGTACCAAGCAGGAACTACCTGCCGAGACTTACAGAGGCAGATCGGGGCGGCAATGGGTTTCTCTTTGCCCTCAGCTTAATAAAGGCTCAGCTATTCTTAAACACAGCATCGTTTCAGAGCTCCTACAAGCTTCTCAGCAAATTAACATCGTCACACTAAAAAGATAAAAGCGCTTCCTACCATACATGGCGTGCGTCTGCTCGTGAGCCCCGTACTGAGTTGCTGAGGAGGACACTAGGCCAGGCTGGGCGTGTGTTGGTGGTGCCACCACTCTAGCACCACCCGGTATTACAGGGCTGTAGACATGAGGAGGCTGCAGTCAAACACAACAGAGGGAGAGGGAGGGGTGAAGGAGAGGGAGGGACAGAGGGAAGGAAGAGGGAGGTCGGGAGGTAGGGAGGGGGAGAGAGACATTACAATATCAAACAAAGCCAAGCAGACATTCATTAGATTTTTAACTCCATGGTTTCTAGAAACAAGAGACAATTCTGAAACTTTCCCTGGTGGCTTCCTCTGAAATTCTGAAACTGCTCAAGAACCTTCAAATATATATTTAAAAGACCCCTCAAGTCCTTTTATTTTTCTTCGTTTTTTTTTTTTCCCCCACTCAAGTCCTTAGCCATCTACTCTACCAAAACACAAAAACAAAAACCCCTTTACTACATTAAGCTTCTAAAATGGAAAAAAACTCAAGAGCCGGATACTGAGAGCCTTACCTGAGACTGATAGTGTGGCACGTGCTGAACTAGTGGCTGATTCGGAAACTGCTGAGGACTGTAGGCAACATACTGCGTGGAGTACGCTGGCGGGGTGGCGACAATCGGCGGGCCCGCAGCCGAGGCTGGGTGCATCATGGTGCTCTGCGGGTGCTGGTCTTGCCGCTGCTGGGGCATATTTGGTACTGTGGGGGAAAGATGATTTCTTTATAGAAAACAGGATTTTTTGTATGACGCACACGTTGGCATGGTCTATGACACAGGGTGTGATCTGGCATTCCTGCCTGCCTCTCCAATACCATCCCACCCACACTCACAGCCAGTTAGCCCCTCTGGCCATCTTCTGATCAGACCCCAGCCCCCGACCGCCAGCTGGCTTAATGCTGACTCATCCAGCAGGTGTCAGCTTGGAAGTACTCCCTCCAGGAGTCCCTTCACGATGCTGCCCAGACTTCATTAGCTTTCTCTAATCATGTATCACATGACAGGTATCTAATTAACAGCTGTTTATACTTTTAAAATTCTTATCTATAAGTAAGTCATGGGGAGGGAGAGGGAGAAGGAGAGAAACTCATTTGCTGGTTCACTCAGCCCCTAGGCTGAATGGAGGAGCTGCAAACCTAAGCCAGATCTCCCACATGGGTGGCAGGGACACAGGTATCTGAGCCACCCAGGGAGAGCATTAGCAGAGAGCTGGAACTGGGAGCAGATCTGGACTTGAACCTTGGTATTCTAATGTGAGATGTAGGTGTCTTAACCACTAGGCCAAATGCCCAACCCATTTTTAGCATATCTTTTTTTTTTTTTTTAAAGATTTACTTATTTATTTGGAAATGAGAGAGAGGGAGGGAGGGAGGCAGGTCTTCCATTGGCTGGTTCACTCCCTAAATGGTTGCAATAGCTGGGGCAGGCCAGGCTGAAGCCAGGAGCCTGGAGCTCCATCTGGGTCTTCCATGGGGGTTCAGGAGCTCAAGTACTTGAGCCACCTTCCACTGCCTGACCAGGTTCATTGGCAGAGAGCTGAATCTGAAGTAGAGCAGCCAGGAGTTGACCCAGCGCCCATATGGGATACCAGCACTGCAGGAGGCGGTTTAACTCACTGTGCCACAACGCCAACCCCCAACTATGGCATATTTTCAAACACAACTCAACCTCTTTCACAGACTACAAAGCAGATTACAGTATGTAGCAAGAGGATAGAGAGATGGTTTGTGCAAAAGCCCTACTATGTTGTAGGAGAGATACACTTCAAACAATTCATGGTTGCATTTTGGAAACAAGCCCTTGACTTTGCCTGTTACATGTAAAACATTAAAAAACACACTTAGAGGGGCCGGTGCTATGATGCAGTGGGTTAAAGCCCTGGCCTGAAGTGCCGGGATCCCATATGGGTGCCGGTTCTAGTCCTGGCTGCTCCTCTTCCGATCCAGCTCTCTGCTGTGGCCTGGGAAAGCAGTGGAAGACGCCCAAGTCTTTGGGCCCCTGCACCCGTGTTGGAGACCCAGAGGAAGCTCCTGGCTCCTGGTTTCGGATCGGCACAGCTCCTGCTGTTGCAGCCATCTAGGGAGTGAACCACTGGATGGAAGACCTCTCTCTCTCTCCCTGCCTCTCCTCTCTCTGTGTAACTCTGACTTTCAAATAAATAAATAAATAAATCTTAAACACACACACACACACACACACACACACTTAGAACACAAACTGAAGAAATTCACAAACCCTTAAGGAAAAACTTTGTCCAAAAATCTCTTTGTTTACTTTCACTTTACTTGAATTTGGGCAAGGAGGTTGGAGAAAAAGAAAAGGAGACAGAGACAGATATACATGGAGAGGAAGGGGGAGGGAGGGGAGACCTCTTCTATCTGCTGGTTCACTCCTCCAATGCTCACAACAGCCGGGGCTAGGACAGGCTAAAACCAGGAGGCTGGAACTCCGTCTAGGCTTCCCATGTGGGCAGTGGCATTTGAGCCCTCATCTGCTGCCTCTCAAGGTGTGCATTAGCAGGAAACTGGATGGGAACCAGAGTAGCTGGGACCTGAACCACACACTCTTATATAGGATGCAGGGATGCCAAGCGGTGATTTAACTGCAGTACCCAATGTCCACTCCAAGGAGAAATTTTAAAATGATACTGAAGACATAATTTATTAACTGCACAGAAAGACTCAAGAATAAATAGATACCAAATATCCTGTAAGTTAACTTACAGATTTTCTGAGACTCTTGATTAAAATGCCTACTGGCAAACTGAACGATAAAATCCTTGACATTGATATCAAAGTACATAAACAAAACAAACACGAGAATATCTCTGGAAAATAATAGGAAACCAATTCATTATTTTGAAAACTGCCTTAAAAAGAGAAATGGTGAGTACTTTAGTTCCTTTTCCTGGGCAAGCTATGCTTCAAGGTAACCAACCAGTCCAATGAGGTAAACCTTTCCTTTACAGAAATATCCCAGCTAATAACGAAAGAAGGGATGAGGGGCCAGCGCTGTGGTGCAGCGGGTCAACACCATGGCCTGAAGCGCCGGCATCCCATATGGGCGCTGGTTCAAGACCCGGCTGCTGCACTTCCGATCTAGCTCTCTACTGTGGCCTGGGAAAGCAGCAGAAGATGGCCCAAGTTCTTGAGCCCCTGCACCCATGTGGGAGACCTGGAAGAAGCTCTTGGCTCCTGGCTTCAGATCAGCACAGCTCCAGCCATTGTGGCCAATTGGGGAGTGAACCATCGGATGAAAGTCTCTCTCTTTCTGCTTATCAACTCTCTCTGTGTAACCCTTTCAAATAAATAAAATAAATCTTAAAAAAAAAGGAATGAAACAAAGAGAATGTCACCATTTTAGAAACCTCAATGAAATAATGGATATAGGACTACACAATGCTCATCAGTGGCTACAAAAACGTCTGGGACAGAGCTTGTGGGAAATTATACTGGATAGATAAGGCATGGATCTAGTGAATCTAGGTAACTTCTGTCACAAAAACAGATGACATAAGCTGCCATTTAGAACGTCCTCATCCCACAGAGTGCCCAGTCTGGGTCTGGGATATTCTACTTCTAATTCAGCTTCCTAATACACAGACGATGGCCTAAGAACCTCAGGCCCTGGGGACGGCACTGTGGTGCCGTGAGTTTAATCGTCACCTGAATGCCTGCATCCCATATTACAGTGCAGTTGGAGTCCCAGCGACTCTGTTTCCATCCAGCTCCTGCTAATGTGCTTGGGAAAGCAGAAGACAGCCCAAGTGCTCAGGCCCTTGCTACCCATGTGAGAAACCCGGATGGAGTTCGAGGCTCTTGGCTTCAGCCTGGCCCAGTCCTGGCTATTACAGTCATTTGGGAAGTGAACCAGCAGAGGGAAGACATCTCTTTGGTCTCCCTCTCTCACTGAACTTTTCAAATAAATACAATAAACCAAAAAAAAGAGAGAGAGAGAGAGAGAGAGAGAGAGAGAGAGAGAGAACGAACTTGGGTCCCTGCCACCCACACAGGAGAATGGCTTGAGTTTGAGGTTCCTGGCTTTGGTCTGGCTCCGTCCTATTTCGGACATCTGGGGAATCAATCAATGGGAGACTTTCCTTCTCCATCTCTCTGTCAAATAAAGTAAATACAAATTTTTAAAAAGAAAAATATCATCACTGAAACCAGAGGCTGACCGTGAAGACTCTACCAAAAAAGATCAAGAAAACGGGAAAGAAGATAGATTACTAATACTAGAAATGGAGTAACAGAACATCACTGCCGATCCCACAGACACTGAAAAGATGAAGGGAAATTATGAACTACTTTATGCCACTAAATTCAGTGAGGTAGATGAAATGGCCAGTGTTAACTTGATGCCAGAATCGTATTAAGACATTAGAAGCAAAGAAGATCCCTCATGAACACAGACAGAAGCCCCTTTAATAAAACATTATTAAATTGTGGCATATATAAAAAGGATAATGTACCATGACTAAATGGAAACATGGGGATTTAAGGCTGGTTCAATATTAAAACATCAGTCAATATAATCCTTCAAGATAAGAGAACAATGCAGAAAAAACATAATCACCCTGGAAGATACCAAAAGAGTTCCTGATCTAATGCAACAACCACTGACTTAAAAACAAACAAAAAACCAGAAACCCTGTGCAGACCAAGAACTGAAGACACCACTATCACTATGCTTTAACAGCGAAGACAGGCCTCCCTCTAAGAACAGAGCACGGGAGATCTCACTGCTTCTGTTTAGGAATTCACCAGAAGTCCCAGTCAGCACAACTAAGGCAAGAAAAGAACACAGTGACTGAACTGTGACTGCATAACACGCAGAATTCTAAATCTTAAAAACAGCTAATAGAAAAAACAACCGGGTTTGGCAACACAGTTAAGAAAGCATATATTTAAAAATCCAGGGTGGGAGCTGGTGTTGCAACATGGCTACTGTCTGCAATGCAGCATCCCATAGGAGCTTGGGTTCGAGTCCCAGCTGTTCCACTCTAACCCAGGTCCCAGTTCTGGGAAAGCAGAAGATGGCCTCAGTACTTGCACCTGTCGCCCATGGGGGAGACCTGTATGGAGCTCCAGGCTCCTGGCTTCGGCCTGGTACAGCCCTGGCCATGGCAGTAATTTGGGGAATGAACCAGTGGATGGATGATCCCTCTCTCTCTGAAACTTTCAAATAAACAATACTTTTTTTCAATCAAGTATAGCTCAATGTACTAGTAAACACTGAAATTTTTAAAAACATTCACAGTAGTATAAAAATAAGATTAAAAATATACTTAAGAAAATATGTACAAATTGACAGAATAAAAATTACAAAACACAAGTAAACTCAAACTTAGATCCAAGGGCCAGTACTGTCATGTAGTGGCCACTGCCTACAGTGCAGACATCCCATATGGGCGCCGGTTTGAGACCCTGCTGCTCCACATCTGATCCAGCTCTCTGCTATGGCCTGGGAAAGCAGAACATGGACCAACACATTGGGCCCCTGCACCCGCGTGGGAGACCAGAAGAAGTTCCTGGTTCCTGGCTTCAGATCAGTGCAGCTCAGCCATTGCGGCCAATCGGGGAGTGAACCAGCGGATGGAAGACCTCTCTCTCTCTCTCTCTGCGTAACTCTTTCAAATAAATAAATAAATCTTAAAACAAACAAACAAAACACCTTAGATCCATTTATATAGTAAACGGAG